CCTTCCCCACCACCACCGTGTCCTTCCGTCCGTCCGTCTGTCCGTCCGTCCGGCTTGTCTTTTTTTGGGGGGGGTCCGGCCTCTGGCCCGGCCCAGTGGCTCTCTGTTATCAGGGGCCAAGCTGACGGCGTCGGCCGCCGCCGGGTTGGCGGGGGAACGCGACGGCCGGCCCGGGGAGAAGCAGCGGCTCGGCGAGGACGGCATGAGGAGCAGCGTCTCTGCCCACAGCGAGCCCGGCGCCGGGAAAGCGGCGAGGGGCCGCTGGCACACCGTGCAGAGCCACTTGGCCGCGGGGAAGCTCAGCCTGTCCAAGTGAGTGAGCACGGCACACACACACACACACACACACCCCGGCATGGACTCCCCCTCATCGCCACCGACAGCGTGTCCGCTCCCCTCTATGGGGCTGAGTTTGGATGAGGGACACTGAGAGATGTCCCTCTTGGTCCGCCATGAGGAGCTGCCCTGGCTCCTGGCAGTGTTTTGGCAGCATTTTGGCTCAGGGGGTGAGCCAAGAGCAGAAGGAGCACCTTTGGGTGCCCACATTGAGTGTCCCCAGTGCCCGCTCCCCTCTATGGGGCTGTGCTTGGATAGAGGACACCGAGAGATGTCCCTCTTGGTCCACCATGAGGAGCTGCCTTGGCTCCTGGCAGTGTTTTGGCAGTATTTCGGCTCAGGGAGGGAGCCAGGATCAGGAGGAGCACCTTTGGGTGCCCACATTGGGTCCCCGCTCCTCTCTGTTGGGCTCCATTTGGATGGGGGACACTGAGAGATGTCCCCCTTGGTCCACCATGAGGAGCTGCCCTGGCTCCCGGCAGTGTTTTGGCAGCATTTCAGCTCAGGGAGGGAGCCAAGAGCAGGAGGAGCACCTTTGGGTGCCCACATCGGCTGTCCCCAGTGCCCACTCCCCTCTATGGGGCTGTGCTTGGATGGGGGACACCGAGAGACGACCCCTGTTGGGCCACCATGAGGAGCTGCCCTGGCTCCTGGCAGTGTTTTGGCAGCATTTTGGCTCAGGGGGTGAGCCAAGAGCAGAAGGAGCACCTTTGGGTGCCCACATTGAGTGTCCCCAGTGCCCGCTCCCCTCTATGGGGCTGTGCTTGGATAGAGGACACCGAGAGATGTCCCTCTTGGTCCACCATGAGGAGCTGCCTTGGCTCCTGGCAGTGTTTTGGCAGTATTTCGGCTCAGGGAGGGAGCCAGGATCAGGAGGAGCACCTTTGGGTGCCCACATTGGGTCCCCGCTCCTCTCTGTTGGGCTCCATTTGGATGGGGGACACTGAGAGATGTCCCCCTTGGTCCACCATGAGGAGCTGCCCTGGCTCCCGGCAGTGTTTTGGCAGCATTTCAGCTCAGGGAGGGAGCCAAGAGCAGGAGGAGCACCTTTGGGTGCCCACATCGGCTGTCCCCAGTGCCCACTCCCCTCTATGGGGCTGTGCTTGGATGGGGGACACCGAGAGACGACCCCTGTTGGGCCACCATGAGGAGCTGCCCTGGCTCCTGGCAGTGTTTTGGCAACATTTTGGCTCGGGGGGGAGCCAAGATCAGGAGGAGCACCCTTGGGTGTCCTCCCTTTCCAGCACCCAGGGTGGCTGAGGATGCTGCTGGGCATCATCTCAGGGATGGTCCCAAAGGCAGGAGATGCTGTCCCTTGTCCCCTTCCCAGGGATGTGGCCATCAGGAACCATGTGTGGCATCACCAGCCTCTTCTCTTGGGGGCAGTGCTCCCCGTGTCCCCCCAGCACCTCTCTTGCGGCTCCACCACCCCATCCCTGGGGGCAAGTTGGAGGAAATGGGCAGTTTGGGCAGATTTAGGGGAAAAAAACAGAGCTTTGGCTCATCCTGTGGGGCTCGTGGTTTGGGTGGGGGTCTGGGTGAGACCCTCTGCTGCCGGTAGTGACCGTAGCTCTGCTGGGGGGAGGTAATGGTTTATCTGTGGTGGGCTCCGTCCTGTGTTTTTGATCGCTCTGGTTCCCCGTGCCAGAGCCCCAACTGGGGGACCCTGATGGGTCCCAGCATCGTCCCTGGTGTCCTCAGAGAGGTCGGTGGTGACAGCAAAGGTGCTTCCCAGGGCTGGTCTCTCTCGTCCCCACTGCTTCTTCCAGATTTCCTGGTGGGGAGAAAAGCCTTTTCAATGGAGACAATCCGATCTTGCCACCTTGGATGAATCCCAAATTCCTCTTGGAGTCCCAAAGATCGGGAGGGTGGGTCCCAGTTTGGACCTGGGCTGCCTGTTTGGTGCCATGCTGGTGTTCTCCAGTGAGAGGGCAAGAATCATAGAACCACAGAATGGTTTGGGTTGGATGGAACCTTCAAGATCATCCAGTTCCATGATGGGGGGGGACACCTCCCACCAGCCCAGGTTGCTCCAAGCCCCCTCCAACCTGGCCTTGAACCCCTCCAGGGATGGGGCAGCCACAGCTTCTCGGGGCAACCTGGGCCAGGCTCTCACCACCCTCACAGCAAAGAAGTTCTTCATGAGATCTCATCTCCATCTCCCCTCTTTCAGTGCCAAACCCTTCCCCCTCCTCCTAGGGCTCCCCTCCCTCATCCAGAGTCCCTCCCCATCTCTCCTGGAGCCCCTTGAGGGACTGGAAGGGGCTGGAAGGTCTCCCTGGAGCCTTCTCTTCTCCAGGCTGAACCCCCCCAACTCTCTCAGCCTGTTGAGAGGTGAGGAAGAGGGGGAGATGCTCAGCCTTCATCCCTCCCTGGTCTCAGAACCCTCTGGGAGCTCCTCTGGTGAAGGAGCTGGCTATGGGAAGGCATCGCTTGGTCCCTCCATTCCAACCATCTCTGGTGGCCATGGGGACAGGCTTTGGTGGCATCTCCAGAGCCTGGAGGAGCCAGGAGGTGGACAGACAGCCGGACAGACACCCGCCAGGCTGGCGAGGGCAGAGTTAAGGGGATGAGGAAGCCATCCCACCTTCCAGCATCTTTTGCTCAGAGGGGTTTGGGGGGTCCTTGAGGGGGTTGGAGGAGGGGTTCCAGTGGCTGTACCCCTCCCCGGTGGCAGCAGGACAGGGACGGGCAGGACGTGGTGCCGCCTGGCACGGTGCTGGCAGGAGCTCGCGCTTCCAGCTGGCGCCGGGCCGAGAGGAGCCAGATTTAGTTTCCTGTGACTGAGAGGTTGTAAATGGAACTAATTTGGGATTCGATCGGGAAGCGAAAGGAGGTCGGCGGCGGGCGACGGCGAGGGGGGG